TGGGGGAGCGGGAGGGAAATGGGAGGAAGGGAGGAAGTGGAAATTTTGAATAGTATTATTTATAAAACAATAAAAATTTAAAAAAAAGAATACTTGTCTCTGCCATCAATCCCTGGCACTGAAAGTAAAGGACGTAAAATTTTTTTTACTGAACTTCCTTTCTTCTAATGTATGTGGACAGACAGACATTATCGTGCAGATATTTGGCAAGGTCCTGAATGGCAAGACGATCTTCCTCAAGGTCCAGCCCAATGACTCCATGGAGAATTTCAAGGATGAGATACAAGACAAGGAAGGCATCCCACCTGAGCTTCAGTATCTGGTAATTGCTGCCAGCAGACAGAGCACGGCACCCAGCCACTGGTGCTAACCCTGTATGGTGCCAGCCAAAATCCATTCCTTTGACTGTTTCTCTAGAAACACAACTTTGAGTAGGTCATGCACTGCTGCCCACAGTGCTGACCACACCTGAACCCCTGTGCTGTCAACTCCCTCAAGAAGAAGGGTGGCCACACCAACAACCTGCACCCCAAGAAAGTCAAATAAAGCTGGAGTCCTGGGACCCAGGGAATATTCTTTTTTTGCCTGAAGCAGAAATACTAAGGAAAACGATGATGCTAAGACTGGGCTAGTGGCAGACCAGTGTATAAGTGCTGCTGCCAACCTTCAGCCCTGACTGTCATTCACATTATGAAAAGAGTAAACTGCCTCCAGTAGTTGTCCCTTGACCTCCACGAATGTGCTGTGACACGTGTGAACATACACACATAAAGAAGAAGATGAGTATAATTTATTATTACTGAATAAGTGTATCTTAAAGACATAAGTGTAAATTGATAAGTATAATTTAAGGTTGTAATGGAAAGTGCATACATCAAAAAGAACAAACAATCAGAAACAGTGGTCCACATTTGGAGCCCAGCACTTGAGACTATGAGGAAGATGGAAGCAAGTGTGAGTGTTACAGTTCTGGAGCTGCAAGGATATCCTGATTAGGGGAAGCCTGGCTATACGTAGAGCGGCGATAGGTCTGGAGGATGGAGCCACAATAGGACAGCTCATCCCTGGAAGGAAAGATATCATGACTTGTCAGAAAACCAAGTTACCTGAAATTGGAGTGCAGTGGGGGATGGTCTCCCTGAAGGATACAATAATCCTGTTCCTCTCCTGGAGAACCACTACAGCTGAGGTCAGCTCCGTGGAGAATATCCTAGCAGAGCCATCCACTTCTTTGATCGAAGATTTTACTTCTTAGCTAAAGCTCGGCTGAAAAGGATTATAAATTTTGTTCCATGCAGGTGTACACACACAGCAAGACCCTTCACAGAAAGCTGCAAGCAATTTAAATATGAAGAAGTATTTCACATAAAAATACATGAAAAAGAATAAAACACGCTGATCTGAAGCCTCCCTAAAGAGACAAATGCCAAAGTCACAGGACCAGTTAGTTTTCTGAGTTCTTCTACAGCCAAATATTACTTAGCTTAGAATCTTTCAGGAAGAACTCAGCCAGCTGCAGTGCTCTGCAGGAACACCGCACACAACCAGCAGAGGGCAGCACCTCTTCTCACTGACGGTGACGCCTGTGGGAGGGAGAGGTGAATGAGCTCACAGCACTCACTGCAGCTCTGACTGGTCCAAATGGCATGACCCATCACTTATTCTCAGGTCAGGAGAAACAGGTGCCCCTGAAATCAATAGGAGAGAGACACTCCAGCATGTGACACACTTGGTATGGCAACTCATACGGGTGCAAGAGACGCGGGGGCTGAGATAGGAATATCCCCTTAGAAATGGATATGATGAAATACTTTGGACATATCCCCAGGGTGGGAGCCTTATACTAAATATAATTTTATTATTTCTTTGAAGAAAATTACATGAGTAAATTATATTTGATCATGTTCACCACATACTCTAGGGGACTTTTTCTTCCTTTTCTATGCCTGACATAGCCCAGACTGATAAAAAAAACCCACTGCAAAATAAGGGTTTCCTTAATGTCTTGATACTCTTAACTCTCCCTCCTAAACCCTGATGTCAAAGACATGAGCCACAACATCAAATGTATGCATTACTAGAGATCAAACACAAGACATCTAAGAATGTCACACAAAAACTCTACCAACTGAGAATTGTCCTGATTTGCCAAAGGACATGTATAAACAGGTTTTCAAGATAGTAGGTCTTCCTATTGACATTGATATGAAAGAAAGTAAGGGTGTCTGCTGGACTCTGTGACAAAAGGGGGAAATTCTCAGTCACCTCTTTCTCTCATTGCCCATGTGACAAACAGGACACGTGTATACACTGAATTCATCCTTTGAAATGATGTTAAGTTAGAGAATTTTCCCCTTGAGACACATTCCTACCGTGGGATCATTACTAAAGAGGAGGTTGAAAATTGGTAAGACTCAGAGGTGGTGGAGGATACAAGATTGTCTGTTCTGAAACTGCAACACAGTTGTACATCTGAGCTCACAGTGGTTGTGATTACATCTACATGTCCCCTACGAGCTGGGAGATTGGCACAAAATCCACCCACGGATCAAGAGCAATTGGCATCTGAGATCCACTGGAGAGGAAGGGTCAGGTTTCTTTAACGATGTGGCACCCGGTACCATGCCCAAGAATATGAGAAGCACAAATTGAGCTACATGGGAGGAAGAGAACAGAAAGTTAGGTTTCAAGAAAGGTCAGTGTATTTTCAACAACTAGCAGGTCACAGAAGAAATCAAAATGAAAATCAGGTCAGTTAGCAGGGAAACCAGCAATAGAGTGTAAGGGAAAAATGTAGAGGTGCATCGTGGACTCCATCAAAACACAATACATACTGATATGACATTTTCAGAAAATTAGGATGTTAAACCCATGACCAGGTTGGTGACCAACACCTTTAATACAAACAATTGGGAAGCAGAGGAATGAAAATTTCTATGAGTTCCAGCCCAGCCTGGTCTACATAACCAGCTCCAGGACAGCCAGGGCTCCACAGAGAGAGCCTGTCTTAAAACAACAACAAAGATAAGTAAGCTCATAATCATAAGGAAAGGATAGCAGATGAAAAAATTGAAAGATCAGAAATTGAAAATTACAGGATAAAGTGGGTGTGTCAGAGGTGATGGTATGACCCAGGCGAAGTAGAATACTGAAGGCCCTGCCATCACCCCTAGCAACAAAAGTAAAAGGAAATGAAATGATTTACTGAGCTCTCTTTCTCTTCAACTAGGTTACAAAACAAATACTAACATGTAGATTTTTGGCAACACCCTGAAAGGCACCACCATCACCCGTGAAGTTGAGCCCGTAGACTCCACAGAGGATATTAAGGCCCAGATCCAAGACACATCCCACCCGATAAGCAGCATCTGGTATTTGCTGCCCACAGAGAGAGCATGGCTGCACTCTGGCCAATGGCAGAGTACAGAAAC